CTTCCAAAAGGTAATACGGCATTGCTAAATTTAATATCCATATTGTTTGCAGAGTATTGTTTGCCATAGATGGGGATGGAACAGCAGACCCCAACCTTTCTGGCTCTGCAGATTGGCGGTGGCAACGGTGTGTGTGTGTGTGTATGTGTGTATTTCACACACGCAACCTAATCCTGTGCATGTGCAAATGGAGCTTTGCACACTCCCCTGCCATTTATGCGGCCCAGTTCCCAACAGGCCACAGTCCAATAGCCGGCCGCAGATTGGGGGTTGGAGGCCCCTGGGATAGAACATAAAATAATAATTATTAGGAAGAGAATTGCCATCTTGGACAATCATTCATTGCTGAAGAAATATTGAACAACAGAGTGGAGTAACTAATGTTTAAAAATATACCTTGAGTTTGGCAGTATTATAGAAATATATGAGCTGTGGTGGCGGAGTGGTTAGAGTGCAGTACTGCAGGCTACTTCTGCTGGCTGCTGGCTGCCAGCAATTTGACAGTTCGAATCTCACCAGGCTGAAGGTTGACTCAGCCTTCTATCCTTCCGAGGTGGGTAAAATGAGGACCCAGATTGTTGGGGGCAATTATTCTGACTCTGTAAACCGCTTAGAAAGGGCTGTAAAAGCACTGTAAAGCGGTATATAAATCTTAAGTGTTATTGCTAGTGCTATTTTTAGCTGTTACCTGAATGTGAGTCCTTAAACTGAGGTGCTCTTATTACAGGCAGTCCCTGCTTAACATCCATTCATTCAGCGACTATTCGAAGTTAGGATGGTGTTGAAAAAATGGACTTGGAACTAGTTTTTGAATTTACAATTCTCACCCCACAGTCAAATAAAAATTCAAGCCAGCCCACCTTTCCAACTGCCCCCCAGTCACCCCCACTACCAGACTTTACTTGTCTTCATCTGCCTCCCCTCCACTGAGCTCACCATCCCGGCCATGTGAGGCGAGGCCCCTTGACTGGGGCTGATTACATCCTTGTGCACTCTCCCATATTTAGTGGTAGTCCATCCCAATGCACTTTTCCAGCCACTTGCACACTTCCCCGAGCCCCACCGCACTCACACTCTGCCATCAGGTTGGCATCAATTCTTAGCTACTACATAGAAGTTCCTAAATAGATGTGTCCCCAGCACTGTCTTTTGGGTCTTCCAAGGATGCATTCATCACCATTGGGACCGAGTCCCTTCACCTTGCTGCTGGTTGTCCTCTTTCCTTCCATCTTTTCTAGCATTAGAACCATCTCTAGGCAACTAGATCCTTTGCATAAGGTTTCTGAGGTAGGATCATTTGAGCCTGGTCATTTAGCCTTGGCTGAGAACATAAAATAATAGGGTTGGAAGGAACCTTGGAGTACTCTTGTCCAACCTCTTGCTTAAGTAGGAGATCCTGTGCAATTGAGGACAAAGGGCTGTCCAGTCGCTTCTTGAGATGTTAAGACCCTAGAAAAAGTATAGAGAAGAGCAACAAAGATGATGAGAAGTCTGGAGGTTAAACCATACGATGAACAATTAAGGGAACTAAGATATGTCTCGTCTAATGAAGAGAAGGACCAGGAGTGACATGATAGCAGTTCTCCAGTACTTGAGGGGCTACAATAAGAGAAGGGGTTGATTTATTCTCCAAAGCAGCTGAGGGCAGGACAAGAAGTAACGGGTGGAAGATTAAAGAGAAATCCAACCTAGAACTGAGAACTCTGGGTTGATTTGTTCGATGATACATTGGTTTGTTTTCTTGGCTATCCACAGTATTCTCAGGACCAGGTTCTTCTTCAACACCAAAGTTCCAGCAGTACAGTACTTTTCCTATCTTACTTCTACAAATTTCAACTTTCTCTTCTGTGGAGTGACACAGGGAATACCACTGCCTGCACAATTCTGGTCTTTGCAGTTACATCATGGCATTTGAATATCTTTCCCAAGGACTCAGTAGCAGTGCTAATCTGTGGCACATTTCTTGACTGCTGCTTCCTTTACTCTGTTAGTTGGTCCTAGGTTATAACTTTCTAAAATATCAATTAATTATCAATAATTATATACATAGAGTATGTTCTGGACTAAGAATCACTATTGAAGAAGCTAAAATAAGTACAAAGACCAAAGTCAACACAATTATATGGAAATTGTAGATGGTAGTATGTTCATGCTATTAAAATTTGTTATATTTGTGTAAATAAAATACAGATTCTAGCATTAATAAACCCATATTTTGGATGAAGTATCCATACTTAGATTGTGATGTAAGAATGGTTTCCAATTTAACCTGAAACCTATGTGCATCTTTTAATGTAGAAGAATCAGAGATGGTTATCAAGAAACAGGTCTCGGGCACAGTGATGCCCGTGGAGGTTATGTTGAGAACTTGGGACATAAGAGTTACATACCTTGATACCTCACAGAGATACAGAAATGTCTTCAGTGGCTCCTTTGTCTCAGATCTTACCTTGTTTTGGCTTGGAGCTATAATTATCAGTTTCTTTATATCGCCTGTGGTTCAGTCTGGAGTCCTTGGTCATGTCTTGCTGGGAGAGCTCGCATTTTCTAGAATTTACCAACATCATCTACTTGGGTATTTCCCTAAGGACTTTCAGAGGTGAGGCTGAGGAGATGCTTGTCATTCGGTCAAATGAGGTTATTGTCCAGCCACTGTCTGTTTTCTGCATTGTCTTGCAAATTGTCAAAAGAGCAGTCTCTTCCTACAACCTCAGCCTGTGGCAGGCAGCTCTGCTTTCTAAAAAATGTTCTGGAGCAAAGAGAGACAAATTAAAATGGTTGGGGAACAGATATGCTAAGTGGCTGAGCCAGAAGGATTCCAGAGGTAAGGCGGAAAACAAGACTCTCTTCTCAAACTTATGAAGTGCTATCAAGACTTTTCTGATTGCCTTCTCTTCTGTGCTTTTCTGTTTTCAATTTCCTTTTGAGGATTATAAATCAGTAGAAGTCCACACTGCTCGTGTTATGCAGGAACAATGCAAAGCCCTAATTTGTTTTATGTAAGAGCTCCCCCCCACCCCATCTTTTGGCTTCCATGCTTTAGCTGTTAGCCTATTTATAAATCTAAATCTACATACAGAGGTCATTGGTTGGCTGAACTTAAAACCATTTTACTCAGTAAATTTAATTAAGAAAATACAGTGCAACTCATAAGCAAATGAGTTTTTCCTAGTTTTAAACCAAACCATCCTCTTGAGTGTTGATTGCCTTGCTCGACCCCTGGTGATACAGAAACAGGCAAAATTAAAAAGGACATTAAAGCTTCATTAAATCTGAAACACATTTAGTACAGTGACATATCTGCAGGCTATTTCGGGGAGATTACAGATTACCTTGACAATCTTGGACTGGGGCGGGGGGGGGGAGAGCCCTTGGCACAGCCCAGTCAGACAAAGGTTCTCGCCATGGCTGGCATCTTTAGGGTTGCCTTGTTCAAGCCCTGGTCTTTGAAAATGCATAGCCACCAGAAGGTGTGTGCTGTCCACGGCAATAATTTCTATGTCGAGAAAACTAATTCTGCACTCAGAATATATTTGCATAAAATGGTGTGATTTGCGTAAATTTTCATCTGCACTCATTTGAGTATTATTTCAAAAGGCCATTTTCATCCTAAATGTTGATCTGAAATGTTGCGGCTTCTGTGCAGAAGAGCAAGCAGTCCAGGACTCTGCCGTGTCCATAACATCCTTTGTACCCGAGACTCCTCAACTTTCAACCACAACTGAGCCCAAATTTTATGTTGCTAGGCGAAACATTCGTTAAGTGAGTTTTGCCTCATTTTAGAATCTTTCTTGCCACCATTGTTAAGTTAGTAACATAAGTGAACCTGGCTTCCCCATTGATTTTGCTTGTCAGAAGGTCGCAAAATGGGATCCCATGACCCTGGGACGCTGCAACCGTCATAAATATGAACCAGTTGCCAAGGATTTTGACCATGTGACCATGGGGAGGCTGAAAGGGTTGTCTGAAAAACGGTCGTGTGTCCCTTTTTTCAGTGCCGTTGTAACTTCGAACGGTCACTAAACGGACTGTTGTAAGCCGAGGAATGGATACAAGTAGCCCTCGGTTTACAGCCATTTCTTTAGCGATCGATGTCTCAATGTCACTGAAGAAAGTGACTTACGCCATGGCAGCCCCATAGTCACGTGATGCTTGTCAATCAGGTTGCAGCCTCCCGGGGTCATGTGATTGTCACTTGCAGCCTTTCAGTTGGCTTCTGACCAGCAAGGTTAATGGGGGAAGCCAGATTTGCTTAATGACCGCATAATTCACTATACAAATACACAGACTCACTTAATGACAAGAGCAAAAAACTAAGCACTTTGCTTAGTCATGGAAATTCTGCGCCCGTGTGCCATTTTCCTGGGTCCATGGGACGCAAGGCAAGGAGGAGGAAAGTGCCCTTTTTGGTGCCGGTTACCTTTGAGTCCCTCTGTCTCAAAATCAACGTAGTAACGAAAAGCAGGACCAGCAAGCGCCTGAGCTCAAAGTGAGGATTTGAATCCATCACTGTGGGGCTGAATGGAGAGCCAGCGGAGATTGGAGGGAGCACAACGCCATGGTCGTTGGGATGCTGACTTTCAAGAGCAAAAGGCAGGACTCGGCTTCCACGGTGGATGGACTCTGTCCAAAAGCCTTGGCACTTCCTCTGTGCTCATTGCGATCATCAGCTCTTGTCCAAATGGCTCAAATCTCTTAGCAACTGAAATGCAAAGAGAGGCCACAGAATTGAAAAAGGCCCATATTTTGTTTACGAGCAGAGAATTTGGCCAGGCAGGCAGGCAGACAAATAGATGTGTTAACAGATCTGCTGCTCATTTATGGATAGCCTTTCAAAATATTGCCATTTTGCTTATCTGTTAAGGGTTTTTTTTTAATTCTGTCTCTCTCTCTCTTTTTGCCCTTAAAACAATTCTGAATCATAAGCCCCTCTCAACCCCCTTCCTTGTGCTCATCCCCTAATGCAAATCTCTCTAACTAGACCATTTTTTGTCTTCCAGCTTGCTCTCGGGAGGTTCCCCTATCCTCAGGTAAGACGTTCGTTGCTGCCTCATTGATTCCTGTGGATGAAGTTGCAACAAGCAATTGTGTCAGTCTTTCCACCTGCTTCATATAAATCTGCCCCATTAAATCAAAAAGCAATCACTTCAGAGTTGTCCAAAACCGCCATGGATTTTGTTCTCCTTTTAAGGTCCAAGATTTATTTTTTATCCTTTAGACTGTTTCCCGGAGCGGAGCTTATAGTGAATTTGAAGCCGAGCAAATTTGCTTTTCTGCCTTCCCATCAACACGCTGGCTGAAAGTGATGTGTGTGTCAAAATCCGGTGTGTTTAGAACAGCATTTCTCGGCCTCGGGAACTTTTAAGATACGTGGACTTCAACTCCCAGAATTCCCCAGCCAGCATGCTGGGAGTTCAAGTCCACATATCTTAAAGCTCCTGAAGTTGAGAAACGCTGCTCTAAAGAACTAGGAAGATTCTGGAACTTGAAATCCACAACTTAAATTAATTAATTAAATTAATTCTTAAAGTAGAATTTCATTTTTTTAGAAAAAGGAGAAAGTAACTGCGATCACAGACTTCTTTATATAAACTCTTTACATGAGTTTGTTTTGGTTGGAAGAGTTGGTTGGTTGGAAGAGGACGGAGGCCACTAATCCCAGTCACGGTCATCGGTGGCCGTGGCTTACACCCAGAGCCTCCACAGCTTCCCTGTCATTCTTTTCCACGTCTGTGTTGGTTTTCAGAAAGAAGAACTTATTTTGCATATTTCCTTTCGTTGAGCTGGCCTTGAAAATTACTTGAAAAAAGAAGTTTGTCTCTGCTTATAGGCACCCCTCCATCAAACCAGCACCAGGATTGACAGGTAGCAGTGGTTGGATGTTGCAAAAAGGCTGTTTTGCACAAAGGTCTCCTTGAGATTAGGGCCTTCAGCCACCATTGATTATGCAGGAATGTCATGTTTCATAAAAGGATTGATGTGATGGTGGTAGATCGGTAAGCCTTTAGCAACAGGCTGATTTGACCTTTCAAAATATACAGGTAGTCCTCGGCTTACGACCACAATTGAGCCCAGAATTTCTGTTGCTTAAGTGAGAAATTTGTTAAATGAGTTTTGCCCCATTTTACAACTTGTCTTGCCACAGTTGTTAAGTGAATCACTGCAGTTGTTAAGTTAGTCGCCCGGTCATTAAGTGAATCTGGATTCCCCATTGCCTTTGCTTGTCAGAATGTCGCAAAAGGGGATCACGTGATCCCAGGACACTCCACCCGTGATAAATATGAATCAGTTATTGAGCATCCAAATATCACTCACATGATCAGTGCCTTTGTAACTTCAAACAGTCACTAAATGAACTGTTGTAAGTCAAGAACTACCTGTACTACCGTGTTTCCCCTAAAATAAGAACCTCTCCTATATTTTTTTGAACCCTGAAATAAGTGCTTGGCCTTATTGCCATGCGCTCAAAAGCCCAATTGGGCTTATTATCAGGGGATGTCTTATTTTGGGGAAAACAGGGTACTACAGTAGTACCTTGGTACTCATTGTTACATTGATTCCGGGAGGCGTAATGAGTACCGAAAATGATGAGTACCAAGCAAACTTTTCCCATAAGGAATAATATAATGAGTTACAAGACAACTGACAACAACTAGCATTTTAACTGAACGCTGGCATTTACTTCTGGCTTTTGGCAAAAGTACCCAACAGCGAGCTATGGGTTCACTTAACATCCACAGCCATTTGCTTAATGGCTGCCACAAAAAGATGGTGGAAACTCAGGTAGGTCAGGTGGATTGCCCGCTTTACAATAGTCACGACTTATGACTGTAATGAGCAGGCTCCATTATGGTCATAAGTCGAGGACTACCTGTAGAGAGAGAGATCGGAGCTGCCATCTATGACCATTAATGGTATAGGCCAGTGTTTTTCAAGCTTAGCAACTTTACAAGGTGCGGACTTCAAGTCCCAGAATTCCCCAGCCAGTGTTGCTGGCGGTGGAATTCTGGGAGTTGAAGTCCGCACCTCATAAAGTTGCCAAGCTTGAAAAACACTAGATAGGCCAAGCTCATTTTTTGCAGCTCCATTAATCCTAAATTATAGTTACCACTCCATATTGGGCAGTTTCCTTATTCTTCCAAACCACTTTTTCCTTGACCACCCTCTCTTTTAAATGAAAAAACCAATTCACGTGAACTCCGTATGAAAAGATACCACATATTTCTTCGAATATTCAGAATATTTGAATATTCCTCACAGAGGGGAGAGGGGAGCCAAAGAGAGCCCCAGCTCCAGGCAGGATTTTATTTAGCTGAATCTTTACGGATTTTATTCTCTACAATAATATCCATCACAACTAAAACGGGTTGTGCGACCTTCTCACAAGCAAAGAAGAATAGAATTAGAATTAGAATTAGAAATTAGAAATTAGAAATCAGAAATTAGAAAAAGAATACAGAACAGGTGAATAGAATAGAATAGAATAGAATAGAATAGAATAGAATAGAATAGAATTCTTTATTGGCCAAGTGGACATACAAGGAATTTGTCTTTGGTGCATATGCTCTCAGTGTACATAAAAGAAAAGATACATTCGTCAAGAATCGTAAGGTACAACACTTAATGAGAGTCATAGGGAACAAATAAGCAATCAGGAAACAATATCAATATAAATTGTAAGGATATAAGCAACAATGTTACGGTCATAGGCGGGAGGAGATGGGTGATGGGAACGATGAGAAGATTAATAGTAATGCAGACTTAGTAAATAGTTGGACAGTATTGAGGGAAATATTTGTTTAGCAGAGTGATGGTGTTGGGGAAAAAACTGTCCTTGTGTCTAGTTGTTCTGGTGTGCAGTGCTCTATAGGGTCATTTTGAGGGTAGGAGTTGAAACAATTTATGTCCAGGATACGAGGGGTCTGTTGATATTTTCACAGCCCTCTTTTTGACTCGTGTAGTATACAGAGGAAGGCAGGTTGGTAGCCATTGTTTTTTCTGCAGTCCATGGGGAAGCCAGATTCACATAACAACCGGGTTACTAACTCGCCAACTGCAGCGATTCACTTAACAACCATGGCAAGAAAGGTCGTAAAATGGGGCAAAACTCACTTAACAAACATTTCACTTAACAGCAAAGATGTTGGGCTCAGTTGTGGCTGTAAATCAAGGACTACCTGTATTGTAATTTTTGTCATTCAACATATCATTCCCCCCCCCTTCCTTTTTCATCCTTTCTTTAACATTCTATTCCATCGTTTCTTTGATATTAGTGCAACTCTTCTCCCTTGGCCAGTTGCCCCGCGGCAAGTTGCCCGTGTCGAGTTGGCCTAGACCCCTCCCTAGAGGTGGGCTGCCCATTTTTGCTCCTGGCTTTGAATGCACAAACCGTCCGTGGATAATTGTGGTTCTTAAGAGTATGAGAAATCCTGTGATATACAGATTAAAATTTAATTACTGGAAGTGGTTATGTTTATTCCTTGCCCGTCCCTAACCCTAATGAAAACATTCGTTGTATTCATTGGGGGCATAAATGCATCTATCATTTCAGGCGGTTGCAATACTGCAAAGTTGCAATTCTCCTGCCCCAGCAGAGGAAGAGGAAGCAGACTATTCCCGGGGTGAATGGCAGTCACTTTCCCTAACCTCCCCGTTGATACAGGCCAAAGGGCCGGGAGGCATCTCTGATTTAAAACCGGTGTTGGTCTGTGCTCTTTAAGCATCTATTAACTTGTTATTATTATGCAAATGAACCATACTAATTTATGCAGGGTTAGATTATGCAGATGCCTCACCGCTGTGGTTATTGAATAATAGGAAGCAATTTGATTTCTTCCTTGTGTTTAGAAATACTTTTTTCTTTTTAAATGGAACAAATTCGCTGATACTTCTCCGGGCTTGAAGATTTAGTAGATCAATCCATGCTTAGTCTCAATTTGCTGCTGTTGGGTGGTTCTGTTTAAACTGGCAGCTGTCTGGTGTGTAGCTCTCATTCACAAATGCTACACACTGGATCCAAAAGTGCCTGGTGACAGAGGAAGGATACTTATTACAGTGACCAGCAAAGTTGGAAAAGGCTCAGGAGCAAACGGGGTCTTTCAAAGGATGCTGAATAGTAGCCAGGTGCCTGTTCAACAGGTGAACGATGGCTTTCAACATAGCAAAATTAAAAATGTGCAAAAGGAAATGGGGGGCTCTCCCTGTTGTTCTGGATAGCCCTGGAGAAGGACTTTTTGATACTTATAACTATGGGAATTAGCTAACCTCAGCAAGAGAAGCATCAGGGGCCCTCAGCCTGTCTCTGGTTGAACAGTCATAAATCATGTTGGCCGTTAAGCGAGTCATCACGTGATAGCACCCAATTTTACAATCCTTTTTGCCATGGTCATTAAGTGGACATGGCAATTGCAAAGTGAACAGCGTGGTCAGTTAGCAAACCCCTTGTCTGCAATGGGCATTTTTTGCCCAGAAACCGGACTAGAAAAGTAAACCACAGTCATGTGATCACAGGACTCTGTAAATGGCCGTAAATGCAAGCGGTTATCAAGCGCCCCAAATTCAGTCACGTGACCACAGGGAGGGGGCGGACTTCAGAGTTCCAAATCCAGGCCATAAGTACCTTTTTCAGAATTTGTTATAATTTCAAAGTGTCGCTGAGTGGCCAGTTATAAGTCAAGGACTACCTGTACAACAGTCTTCTCTGTTTGGGAGCGAAAGCTACAGTTGAGCTCAGAAACATTTCAGGATTGCACTGCAACAACCTCAGGTTTCTCAGCAAGCTGGACTGCAACATAGGGGTAGGTACACCCCCCCCCAAAACCCCCAAGAAGTTCTTGGAAAGAATGTTGAGTGACAGCTCTGTGCGTCTTCTCTTCGAACCAGTTCAGATTCCTCCACCTCTTTCTCTTGCCTGCTTTGTGTTAAGAGGCTAGAAGTGAATCTCTTTGGGGCAGGAAGCCCCGTTTCCATCTGTTCTTTGTTTTGGTAACAGACAGATCAGCTACCAGGCTGTTTGCTTTTCACCGTGTGA